TCTCCACATCCCCAAGAGTTATTTTGTGGTCTGGGAAGTAAATACCTTCCTGCAGCCGTCTAAACAGACCAGAGTTCCTGAACACGCGAGCGTCATGAACCTTGCCCGGCCATCCGACGTAGATGTTTGTAAACCGTCCCCGATGGTCCACCAGTGCTTGCAGCACCATTGAAAAGTAGCCCTTTCTATTGATGTACTGGCTGGCCTGGTGGTCCGGTCCCAGGATAGGGATGTGAGTCCCATCGATAGCCCCACCGCAGTTTGGGAATCCCATCGCGGCAAAGCCATCTATGATGACCTGCGCGTTTCCCAGGGTCACTACCTTTGGGAGCAGTACCTTGACGATTGCCTTGGCTACTTGCATGACAACAACCCCCACGGTAGATTTGCCCACACCAAAGTGGTTCGCGACTGACCGGTAGCTGTCCGGCGTTGCAAGCTTCCAGAGGGCTATGGCCACTCGCTTCTGGACAGTGAGGGCTGCTCGCATGCGGGTGTCCTTGCGCTTCAGGGCAGGGGACAGCAACTCACAAAGTTCGAGGAAAGTCCCCTTCCGCATGCGAAAGTTTCGCAGCCACTGGGATTCATCCCAGACCTGAAGCACTATACGGTCCCACCATTCCGTGCTTGTTTCCCGGGCCCAGAATCGCCGTTCAACAAAATCCACATGCCCCATTGCCAACGTCATGTCCTGGGCGCTGGGGCTCGTGGTTTCTGACAGCTCTGTGCCACTCTCCGACTTCAGGCTCTCACGGCGGTGCCGTAGCCTCCTCGCCCGATTTCTCTGCATCTGCCTCAGGGAAAGGTGTATGATAAGCTGCGAGGTGTTGAGAACGGCCACAAGTGCAGCGATGGTCGCAGCGTGATCCATGATCGCAGTGCTGTGGCGTCCGCGCTGTCACTGACCAGAAAAGTGCGCGAACTGATTTCCCGCCGGCGCTTTCATGGAGGGAGGGAGGGCGTTAGTGACGGACGGATGACGACAAATTTTTTTTACCCAGAAGGCATTGGCGGCTCGACCCAGAATTCCGATGGGCAGCGGGGACTGCGGGAACTGTGGGATAGCTGCCCACAGTGCACCGCTTCCAATATCGACGCTCGCCCCGTTAGTGTGGACTCACAAAGTCGAATTACTGTCCTTAGTGTGTCCTTAGTGTGGACACACACGTTCGACTTTGCAATATCGATTCCACATATTCGATTTAAGTAAAATCGAATTACCCTCGTAGTGTAGACATACCCTTAGACTCTATGAAATCACAGGTTCAAATCTAGGAGAGTCCAGTTGATCCTTCATCTTTGCAAAGTAGATAAATTAAATTCTATGCAGATTATTGTATGTTGTTGTTTTTTTTAATCAGTCCTTAAAATAGAGCTTCTGTCTGCTTTGCATTGACATTAGATTCCATGACACTCTGCTGCCCTTGACCAAAAATTTCCCTTTCCCACACTGTTATGAAGTGTTCTGTCTGCAGTGGTATGGGTTGCTGCCTGGCACCCCAGAGGGGGCTGCATTTCTGTGAAGCAATTTGCAGTTCTTCAGGATGAAAAATGATGTATAAATGCAAACTGCTGTTATAAAAAGCAAGCCATAATAATTTGGTAAACAAAGAAAAGGCTCAATGCATACTTGAATATTATCCTCCTTTCTACTGGTTGATTTATTTAGATATGGTTGGTTTTGTTTGTTTGTTTGTTTGTTTGTTTAGAAAATATATCAGTGCCAATTACTGAAGCAACTTGGCATATTACATAATTAAAAATAACAATTTACAAATTAATCAGATTTGTGAGCCCTTTACAGTTTCATTGAAGAACCGCTTTTGCACGTATAGAATGTCCATCCTGACCCCTGCTAATAAGTAAATCCATGGATCTGTCAAAATCATAACCAAATAAATAATGGCCAGTTGAATCAATTACAAGGGTGGCTGTCTGTCTCACCTGCTATCTGGATGTGGAAGTGTTGACTGACATTCCTGCCTCATTTCCCCCCCCCTTCCCATTTCTTTCAAATATCGGCAACCAATAGGATTCACAGACATGCACAGGAGGTGGGATTACACCCTATTTTGAGTGCAAAGTGCTGAGCTTGGCTTTCAGTGACCAGGCAATCACAAAGGCCCCAATCTTTGTCACTGGGAATCAATGGGGAGTTTTGTCATTGATTTCAATAGGAGAAAGATACGGTCAAATATGGGCTGCTTTCTTCTTTTTTGCATCAACTTGTTGCCAATTTCTTGCAATGAAAACACAATGGATTAGAAGTAATTGCCTCTTTGGTGACTGCTAGCTCTGGTGCTGGAACATCATACCTCAGTGTAGCGTCAACTGGACAGTTGACCAAGAACTCATCTTTTTGATAATAGATAATTGTCCAGACTTGGTGTTTTACTTTTGGCAGCATGAATCCTCCCCTCTTCACATGGTAACCTGTTATATTTTGCTTCTTAATGAGCCAAATTTTTAGAACCAGTTTATAAAATTGCTGATTCAGTTTTATGTATTCAACACAGATCCAGGTGTTTGCATGTAGAAAATTTTGAATGTGAAAAATTATGTGCCAACTTTCAGCATGCAAAATTTTAGGTGCAGTTTTACAGGCTAGCTGAGCTGAAAACATAGTTCTAAATTTGTAGGCTACCAGACTTAGTGGTTGCTTATAACACACAGAGAGACATTATCTGATATAGCACAGAACATATCCTGGATCATTTTGGTATTACACAACCAAAAAATAAACACACACATAGCCTGGAAAATAGTCAGATCAGTTCAACCATGGCAATACACTTCAGTCTTAGTTTCATAGCTTAAAATAATGTTCCTTGTTTCCTGTTGTTAGCAGCTGCAAGTGGTAGTCTCCCTGAGTTAGCACCATGCTTGCCCTAACTGGTAATAACATCAATATGTATAAGTAAGTCTACCGGTAGTTAGAGCAGGGGTCTGCGCTCCTTTATTCCGTGCTTGGCTCTGTTACTGTCTCACTGAGTGATCTGTGCACTTGACTTCTGTGTGCTTCAGTTTATTCATCTGAAAAAGGGTTACTAATACTATACTATTTACTTGCCTCACTGAGATGGTCTGAGCAGAACTTAATTAGTGTCAGTAAAGTGCTTTGAGATCTTTAGATGAGGTACATTCACATCTGTGCCTATTATTTGTACAGTGGCAAGGTTCAGAGTGGATATCTGATTGAATGTGTAGGGTGAGGTGTCATGGACCCACATTATGAAGAAAAGTAAGTCGTGTTTGTACAGCGCCTACCACAAGGGGTTCCCAGTTCATGACTAGCGCTCTTAGGTGCTATGATAATACAAATCATAAAAAAGAATAACTGTGCAGGGGTTTCTAGTCTATACAGAGAAGGTGGCAAGGGTAGTTAGGCTTTGTGGCATATAATGGAATGGTAGATGCAGGCCAGTGTTTTTTAATGGATTGTATGTAGAGGGTAAGATGTGAAAATGTTGTTGTGTTTTCTTGGTTAATAGTGGGAAGGTGGCTTACAAAGAGAAGGTGAATTGGAAGAGCTAGAACTGATCTTTGGGGTGGATGGCTCTTACATGCAGTATTGGGTGGCTGGTGTTCATTAGTGTGCCAGGCATGGGTAAATAGAATGAGAGTGAGTGGCTTGTATTGCAAAGGTTGAAGATGTACAGTGCGTAACAGAAACAGTTTATATCATTGGGAGAGGTGTAGATGGTATAGATGATATACTAACTATAGTGTGAGCTATCTTGAGCCATACTTTCAAACTTCTGGAGATATTTAATATGCAGTCTTAGCTTTGAACGTCCTAATTTTTGGTTATTTGTTTTTTAAACTAGAACACTCTGTTAGCTTTTTCCCCTTATGTCACTGATCTATATTCACAACCAGAACTCTTCAGAGTATCTGATTTTTTGACACTTAAAAAAATTTGGCCTGTTTTGTTTAAAAAAACAACCCATGTTTGTGAATTGCTTGTGACACTTTCATGTACATTACTGATTTTGAAAATGGACTACTATTATCTCTGTATTTGCTACGAATTAATGAGATGAGAGCCTCCAAAGGACTACAGGCAATTTTTTGCCATCTCATAATTTGAAAACAATTTGGCCAAAAAGCTCCAAGTTTGGCTTAATTTTCTGTCATCATGAGGATTCTGTATCTCCATGTGTCCAGAAAGCTGAACTGTGTATCACATCATCCTGAGTAAGACTGTCATCTTTTCAAGGCAGTGTTCCTGTCATTTTATACTTGTTCTGTAAAGTGCATTGTACACTTACTGAGCTGGGTAAGTAAATAATACTGCAGGATTCCCATGAACATACCTACTGAAAAACTTTGAGTTTTCTTAATAGGAAAAAAAAGAACCTCTCTTGTTTGATGGAAACTCCTGAGTCTCATTTTGCTGAAGTGAGAATGTGTTATGTTTAAGTCTTTTAAGTGAAGTTTTCAGAAAGTCTGTTCTGTTCTGCCATCAGATCAGTGCACCATTAAACCCATTTTGAATGTTTTGATTCTGAATGGTTTTCAATTCTAAAGGCTTTTAGAATATCGAGGTACCATTTTTGTGCTTCTGAAAGATAAAGATAAATTCCTCTATTGGTATTGCAGCTTTACATTGTTAATGCCTAGCTGGAGTCACTCTGATTTAATTATTCAAAGAAGTCTACGCAAGTGGATAATAGCAGTTTATTTAACCCTCCCCCTTCACCACTCCCCTCTCTTTGTCTCTTATAGTTAAGGAAGGGGGGGTGGGAAATTACTTTGGTACCTAGTATGTATCAGGAAACTAAGATAAATTTCAGAGGCTTAGCACAATGTCGAAGGGTCTTTAAGCACTGAAATATTTTATAGTAACTTTATATATGGTGGAGCTTAGAAAGGGGAGTTTAAATTCATAAGCATAAACAGGAAAACCTTACATCACAGTGTGTGTGTGTGTTGGGGGAGGAGTCTCTCCCTCTCTCTCTCTCTCTCTCACTCCCAGCACACCACTCACAGTTCTTTGTGGTCATGAATTGACTGCAGAACCCAAGCAATAGAGGCAGAGTGGTGTCTACTGAGTTGAGAAAGTATGTGAGAGGATTGTAAAAGCTATTTGCTTCAGAACAGGATCCATCATGCCCCGTCGATGTCCTGAAGAGGAAACTGAGAATGAAATTGCTTTGGAAAGCTAAAATGGTAACTAGAGCTCCCTTACTTCTCTAAAGACTTCCTAGATGGAGAATCCCTATTTCAGGACTGGATTGTATTCTTTCTAAGTGAATCTGGCACACTGATGACATATTTGTGTGCAACTTTTTGTATCTGCAATCTCTTGAGACCCACTTTTAAAGTCTCTTTCTCATTGTTCTGTATAATTACCTCTCAGTGTGTATTACTGCTTTAAAAATGATGCTTATCTGCAAAGTAATTGACTTTCTGTGTGTGTTTGTGGAGTGGCACAGAAGAGGGAAACATTTGAGAAAGGGAAGTTAGATGAGTCCTTGAGGATGAATTCAGGATTTTTTTTTCTGCCTCCGCAATAGTGGTTTATCTTTGTTTTTCTATTTTGTTCTTTAGATTAGGAAATATAAAATGGAGAATTATTTCAGGTTATGTTTCCATTAAAGTTTTAGTGTGATATTATGGTGCTGCTTCTGCTTTCTGATATTTTTAACTTTCAAAGTCTTAGCCCTGTGAAGTTTTTGTAGCCTGAAATAATATTAAAAACAAAACAGAAGTGCTTTTAGTCCCTCATGTCAAAAGAAATAGACACACTGTATTTTAAATAATTTTTAGTTTCTAAGTTTAAATGATCTCAGCCTATATAATTCCTCTCTTTTAAAGTACAATTCTTTCCATAAAGGAAAACTAAAGAGATTAATTGCTTTTTAAAATGTTTACTAATCAAAACGGAATCATTTCCTCCAAAAAAGACTATAAAACTATTTAAAATATGTGCAAGTCTCGGAAAAAGAACTAAATGGAAAGTCAGGGTATCCTGATACCATAGGAAATGGCAGCTTGCCAAGAGTATCTCAGCATTCCCTCAATCGAAAAGCGTCCTGTATTGCTTGGATTCTTATATTTACTTTGTACAGCCCATCTTGTGCGCTGAGCTCTGCAATAAGCAGTATAGCAGCTGGTACAGATTGTGGTTAGCAGAGAAGGGGGAAAAAGTACCTTTTTTTTTCCTTTCTCTCTTTTTTTCCCCTTCCATGGCAGAGCTCAATTCAGGACGGGGGTGAAGAGGTAGAGGAAGGAGCTGTTTACCATGTCACCCTCAAAAGAGTGCAGATTCAACAGGCTGCCAATAAAGGAGCAAGATGGCTAGGGGTGAGTAAAACCGGCACAGTGGCATCTTGAGAGATTACTTGTAGACTTTGGAGCCCTGGTCCAAAGAGCTGAATTCCACGGCATAGTTATAGTATTAACTTTTAGCAGAGACTGGTTTTAACATTAAAGAACAACTCGGTATCTGCATCGCCTGAAAAAAGTTCTATTGTGTTCAACTCTTAATCTTCTGGATGATATATAAAACTAGGATTTGATCAGTTGCGGTCATGGATCCCATAGTACTTTTTGCAGGTGTAGGGATTTTAGTCCAGGGTCTGATCCTGAAAATTATTGAGCACTCTCAATCATTTCCCTAAGAGTGGTATGTGTTCTCTACCCCTCAGGACCAGGCCCCTGGACCTGGACACATTCTAACTACTGTACCTACATTCTGCCTACCTGTGGACTCAGTCCAGCACCCTTTGAAGTCAATGGAAAAACTCCCATTAGTTACAATGGGAGCAGAACTGGGCTATAATTCCACTGCTTTTTCAGTTGCATACACCATTCATCTTCCCTTTCTGTCCTACACAGTTGTGCAGTGTTGCTGTGTGCTGTTACACAAGTGCAGTGTTTCATCCCAAAGGCAGGTGCATTTTAGTGGTGGGTGAAACAAGGCCTGTATAGAAGTCCAAATACTGCAAGGTGCTGAATGCCCTAAACTCCCATAAGGTCAGACCCTCCATTGGTATCAAATGCCATCACTCCATTAAAGCCAATGGAGCTATGTCAGTACACCGCTTGAGGATCTGGCCCATATTTTTATCTATTTGTAAATTTCTTTCAGAATGAAAGGCACAAGACTACACATTCTAGATCAGATTTATTTACCAGATTGAAAAACATCTTTCCTCAATCCATATAAGGTCAATAATTTAAAGGCTCTTAGGGCTACCTTGAGATTTAAATCAAATAGATTTCTTGTCAAGTATCACGGCATAAAGCAACATGTGAGACAGCAGCACTGAAAACACAGTCTAGAAAGATAAGCAAACTTTGCCCTGCATGCAGATAGTGTTCAGAATTTCCCCTTTCCCTATTTCCAAGAAGTACACAGAGTTCTAAGCAGAACAGATTATTTCAAATCTGCTTCCTTTGATGAGTGGCAAATTTCCCATCTCTGCCTCCTGTTTATAGCAGGGTTGGGGGAAAAATATCTGAATGTATTTTTGAGCTCCTGTTAATTGCACAGATGGTAGTTTTGCAAGAGGTCAAAACCATTTTGAGCAAGATTGTCCCACAGATGTAGTCACCACAATTGAAGCACTTTTCAATTGGAGTCACTACTGTTCAGTAGCGTCTATGTATGGGGGGTGGGGCGCTCAAACCTGTAATCAGTGGACAGGTGTCCATGTTATAGAGACCACCACCGCAACTGGCAGGAGTTGGTATACTACTTTGATTGTAGGCAGAGGTCAAGGACTGAAGCGTCATGGAAAATGAACTATCCTTTTATTGCTGGATAGAACTGGTCCCTCCAGGTAAGGATTGAAGTATATTTGTGGGCAGGGAGGCTGCATGTTAGAAAGTCTGCAGCTGTTCTGTTCATAAAGGGAGAAATTCAGTCTCCTGGGCTGTCAGGCTGGCACCTTTTATGAGCAATAATCCTGCACAATTATTTTAAAATCAAAACAGTCCCACAACCCTTTTGTTCACTTTAAGCACTTCAGAACTTAAAATATTTTAAGTCCTTTAAGTGGATGGGGCCTGAGCCTGCTCTCACTGTTGACTTCAGTGGGAACAGGACTGGTCCCCTGGTCGATAAACAGCCCTTATGCTGGAGCATTGGTAATTAATGTGCACTCCATCAGCAATTCTGCCTTAAAAAGCAGAACTGTTTTTTACGAGTGTCATCAGTTTTGTTTTGCTTTACTTTGAAATCTAGAGCTGATGTGGTTTTATTACTCTACGTGTTTAACTTTTTCAGTGGTTTGTAATTGATAGCACTGTATAAAATGAATTACTTCCAAAAAGCCATTGGGTTTCCCAGTGTTGGAGTTCTCTTTCTTTCTAATGATGCTGTAAGTCCTGCCTGTGTGGGTTGCTGATTCAGGGCCAAACTGAAGACAATGGGAGAGTAATGCATACATATCCAACAGCAGGATGTGGGCTTTAGTCTGGAAAATACAGGAACTCTTTATGATTAAACAATTTTTCCTTTAAAAAAGTCAAGAGTGTGTCTTGAGAGTGTCTAGGCTCCCTGGAACTACCAATGCAAATCCTGGAAAGGTCTACTGAGTCCTTCATCCTTCTAAGAAAGAGAAATTGAGTTATTGCAGTGGTGTAGGTGTCTTTCCTTTGTGACTTTAAAAACTGAAGGCCTGTTTACTGTGCGTGGATATTAAATATCCTGTGGCATTTTTCATCAGAGTAGTGGTTTGACTCAGTGACCCCAAGTAGCTGCTTTTCAGTAGTGCTGTGTGTATAAAGTGCTTTGTAATCCATTTAGATGAAAGGCACTAGGTAAAAATGTAAATTATTGTTTACCATGTTGGAGAGAGTGCTGCAGAATTCATACTGAAAATGTCAGTGAATTAGAAATCTTGTTTATTTCAATTATATCAGAATTTTACGCTTTACAAAGTACCATTGAGTATTGACAGGCTTGAAATCTTGGACAAATTCATCCCTATTGTTATGACACAAAAGACAACAGAGTGAGACCGTGTATGAATCTAGTCCATTCGGTCTGTTTCAGCCTTTCATATTTAAACTTCTTTTTTTAAACAAAATTCCCCACCATAGAGAGCATCCAAAAACACCCATCCCACTGGACCCATTACAACTGAGCGGTCTGCAAAAAGGTCAGTCATAGGGGCTCAGTTAAGCATCTTAACACTTTGCATCCCTATAACTCTAACTAATTTTTGGTGTTTCAAATTTTTGTAATAATAATAAAAAAGACTCCTTGGCTGAGGTCATGTAAGCAAAGGTCTGCCAAGAGTCAAATGCTTATAGCACTAATAAACCTTTCTGAAAATAGGAGTCTGGTATATAAACATCCAACCACTCAGCTTTTGTTTTAGCAGAAGGCTGTGTTTAAGAAGGTATCCTTCACCAGAGTCAATGTTATGAAAGCTAGCTGTAATATTATAAACCTCCATAAGATCATCAGTTTGATCCATTAGATTTAGTTTTAAGTGGTTTTAAAACTTATAACTTGCTATTATTAATTATTTCTGTTACTGTAATGCCAAGGAACCCTAGTCATGGATCAGTATCCTGTTGTGCTAGACACTGTAGAAACACCTACTCCTGCCCCAAAGAGCTTTCAGTCTATATATAAAGCCTGGTCTACACTTTAGGGGGAGGATCGATCTAAGTTACGCAACTTCAGCTACATTATGTAGCTGAAGTCGACGTGCTTAGATCTACTCACCGCGGTGTCTTCACTGCGGTAAGTCGACGGCTGACGCTCTCCTGTTGACTCCACCTGCGCCTCTCGCCCTGGTGGAGTACTGGAGTCGAAAGAAGAGGGCTCGTCGGTCGATTTATCGCATCTAGACTACATGCGATCTAGACTAGATCGCTGCCCGTCGATCTAGCAGGTAATGTAGACAAGCCCTAAGACAAAAGATGGATACAGACAGACGGGAGGACTACAAGGAAACAATGAGACCGTATTGGTCCACGTGGTATGCAGTACTCTCTGCATACCAGCAGCTTAACTGTTTTATGGATGTTTATGGGTAGCTCCTCCCAGGCATGAGGGGCAGCATGAGAAAGCACAAAGGTGCTTGTTTTAAAATGTAACAGTTGGGCTATGGAGGCTGGCCTCTTGGGCCAATGGGAGGTGGAAGTTGACCTCTCAATAGTCAATGAGAGATGATGGGTGGAGTGGGGATGGGCTGTTGAAGGACGTTCAAAGTGAAGACAAGTAGCTATGTTTGATGCAATAGAGAAGGGTGTGCCAGTGGATGGCGTAGAGAGAGAGGAGACATACTCACAGTGACAGTCTAGAAAAATGATCTTTGCAGTAGCATTCTTAATGGGTTTGAGTGGGGTTTACATTTGGCAACACCAGAGAAAAGGATACTGCAGAGAGAAAAGGATGCTGAGATGCAATATGATGAGATCCTGGATGAGAGTTTCATCTGTGTTCTGGATAGGAAAGCTGGTATCTTAAAGATGTTATACAGAAAGAATCTGCTAAATTTACACTTAGCCTGGAAGTGCAGATGTAGAGAGACAGAGAGAGGTCCAAGTTGAAAATGGCACTCAGGTTACAAGCCTGCATGTCAGGCAGGATGGTGATATTGTCCACAGAGATTGAAAAAGGAAGTAGCAGGGAGGACTTGGAGGGGAGAGGAGATTAAGAACTCTGTTTAAGTCATGTTGAGTTTGAGCTGATGCCTAGAGATCCACATGATTTTAGTTTGGGCAGAAGGAGACAGTCTGGAGTAGAAAGGAAGATCTGAAAGGTGTGAGCATAGAGATGGTAGTTGAGTTTGTGTTTGCAGAGGAGATTACCCAGAGATAAGGTTTGGGGAGGAGGTGAGGAGGATTGGCTGATGGAGGGATTAGAGGTAGGAGAACCAGGGGAGGACAGAGTCAAGAAGAAGAGCATGGTTGGTGGTGTTGAAGGCAGCTGAGAGGTCAAGGAAGATGAGGATGGAGTACTGGTTCTGAGCTTTGGCTAAGAAGAGGTAATTGGAGACTTTGACGAGAGTGGTTTCAGTGGAGTGCAAGGGGTGGAAGCCAGATTGGAGCCTAGGGTGGAAGTGGGAGAGAGGAACACCAGACAGCAACTGTAAACAACATGTTCAATGAACTTAGAGATGAAAGGGAGGTGAAATAGTAGTTGGAGAGGCAGGTGGAGTCAAGGGTGGGTTTTTTGTGATAGCAGAGATTAAAGCATGACTGTATTGCCAGCTGAAAGAGTCAGACAAGAGTGAGAAGTTAAGGGGAAGAGTAAGGGAGAGAACAAGAGTGGGTGTGAAGAAGACCAGAAGGTGGGATAGGGTTTCTTGCGCAAGTGGAGGGGTTAGAGGAGGAGAGCA